AAACATTAACATCAAATTTTTTTTTTGAATTTCTATAAACCAACGAGTTTAGATTTGTTCCATGATATACCCAAGTCACTAGACAGTTAAAACGCTTAATAGTTACCTACGTTCAGTTGTTTATTTTCCTTATACGAATTTCATTTAGATAGTAAATTATCGTAAATAACATTTTTAATATTGTAAGTGTTATACTTATATTAGACATGTATCATGAAAATTAAATTTAAGACTGTCCAAGTGTTTAATGCACTATTTCTGGATTTAAACAAAATAACAAATAAATACAACTTTATATAAATGTTCATAATTAATTATTTAAAATTTAGACAAAAATTTATGAATTTCAAATCTGTCAACACTACCCGATTATTAGGTTCAAAATCTAATGATGAGTTGCTGGTGCCTCTTAACAAAATTAGTTTATCAAACATTCGCCTAAATAATAATTAATAAATTATGTTAGTATAGGGTCTCTCATTCAATGTCGTCTCTTTTTGTTAGGTAATTTTACCTAACATTGTTGTTTAATGCACACTTTTATTTTTGGTTTTGTGTATATACTACTTTTAACTTTAAGCTTACCTCACTTTTTTCAATATTAACTTTACTGAACGAGTGAACAAAATCTGTGTACTTGCCCCGCTTTGATAATAATACGAGTATGTATGCATTGTGCACTGTTCCGGTCATATTATTACATCACAATGCACACTTTATATTGAAGATTATAGACAGTATTGAAGTACAACACACTCGACAATACTTGTATTTAATTACTATTAGCGTACAATACTATTGACAATAAGTTGGACGTCTCCGTCGTCGAAGGCCACTACTTCGACAGAACTGTCATTACAATGATATAAGCTCCTGTTCACCGTACAATTGACAAAGTTTGTGCGTGTGTGTGTGTGTGTGTGAGTGTAGGTACGACAAGCTCATTTTAATATCACGATCGAAACAATAAAGTTTGTTGGTTTTTTTATATTTTTTACATTAGATTAACATCCGCCGTTACATAAACGCAAGCAATTTATCAATTTTTGTGAATGTTTTCGTTTTTGTGTTTCGCACTCGGTGCTCTCATATATACATAAATCAAAACGTCCGAGACAGTTATTATTTATTTAATTTTTTTTTTTTTTGTCATCGTACACCGTATTTTTGTATAATCCGACCTGCGAAATTACTGTGTACGTGGAAGTATAAAATTTAATATGAAGTCAGGTGCTCACGGCAATGCCATAAACACTGCACAATTTACATATCATTTGTTGTTAAACAAGTCTGGAAATCGGAATTATTATATTCATATGAATATCAAAGCAAAGTTGTGTTATAGAATGGGATTAAAAAACCGACAATGCAGCGTGTGGTTCTGAACTAACGCAGACTTTCATGAAAATATAATATTATTATTGTTTAAAAAAACAATCAAAAATTGAAATAAATGTCATTACGTATTGTAATTATTTATAACACGGTAATTATGTTACGACAAACCGACTGTCCGATGATTAATTATTGCAAAAGTTAATATTATGCTATGTTTAGAATGGTGGTTTCCACTAACTTTTTTACCCGATGGTGCCCTCTTTTTGACCAAATTTAGTCGCGATTCCCTAGCCGCTGCAGTGAATACTACGATAGACATGAAAAAAATAGAAACTCGAGTTCTCAATGGTAACCATTGTAAAGCTCGTCCTTCGGGGTGAAAATATCGGCCAAATATGAAAGTTAACAAAACTGACGAAAGTGATTTTGGAAAGTCGCGAGTATAATATTATGTTATTTGCGTTCACGTGGCGCATACACGCCGTGAGAATAAGCAGCTATAAATATACCTTCGAGGGTTTAAAATAGTTATAAAAAAATTCTGGACATCTTGTTGATGATCAGATGATAATTTATTACTGTACCGTTTGAGACAACAAATAATTATTGCCGCCATTCAAATATTAATATTTGTGTCCAAACATAAACTGTGTCTTATGAAATTCAATTTGAATTCAACAAAAATAATACTACATCAAATTGTAAATATGTAGTGACGATTTTTTAGTTTTTTTTAAATTTTAATTTCGAATGGACCTCAGTGTCTTTGGAATGGTGCATCTAGAGCATCGAGGTGCATACATTTTGGGAACCGTTGCTCTACAAAATGATGGGAAAAATGCTATCAAATGCGGAACGATAGTAATAATAATAATATGGGAAACGCTGTTCATTAAACCACATTAGACCACCTTATAGGGTTTTACTATTATTTTTAATCAATCTTTAAGTATTTTTTTTTTAATTATCTTTTATCGGTGTCGGTGTGTATAGCTTTTCTGTTGTAGTGAACCTTTGTATACGTATATACCTTTTTCTCGATGACAATACTTTTAGTACTCCACTATTGAGTATTGATTGACATTTACTTTTATTACCTTCACAAGTACCGATGTATACATATAATATTGAGTATTGTTTGACATTTACTTTTATTATTTTAGTTCCGGCGGCTAGTTAAATTACACTGTATAGTCTTTAGGACCGGATTTCACCGGATTCGACCGGATTTGACAGGATTTTCACTTTAAGAGCATTTGACTCGGGACTTTAGACTTTAAAGTGGTGACATTTAAAAAATAAACTTGTTTTGATTTTTTTGCTGTACACCTACAAAACAAAATAAAAAGGGGGTAGAAAATAATTGAATCCAAAAGCCTTGGAATATGTGTCCGTAACTACATATTATAATTGTCATACTGTGTAGTATCTGTGCACTGTGCTTAAAGGTATTAGCATAACGTTAATACCTGAGTATAAAATTATGATACAAAGAAAGAGCACAACATTTTGATGAATTGCGTACGAATAAAAATTGTTGATCATCATAGATAAAAAAAATCTACAAAATAAAATAATTATAAATATTATAGTTTGTCTTATACTTTATATTCGTTTAAATCATTTCCAAATACATACTCAACCATGCATTAAAACATTTTTGTGTTAAGTAACTGTTAAGAATAATGAATAACGATTTATTTCAAATATAAATGTCAATTTATTTTTAAGTGTAGGTACCTAAGGCTTGATGTCTTGATCTGCCGCAGACTCGAATACCAAGCGGAAACGCTCGTCTCTGTAAACCGCCACATCCGGACACAAACAACGCGAATCGGTCGACTCACTCACCCTCCCCGAGGGAGGAGAGCTAAAGTGAGAAGCCTAAGTAGGCAACAGCCGACGGCAAAAATCCCTTTTAAAGTCAAACGAATATAATGTATAAATCATACGCCCCACTGTATGCGGTGATAACTGATAATTACTTAGTGCGTTATTGTTGTTTTTTTTATCAATCGCATTTATTACAAACCATTTTGGTTTCATCAACTCGTATATTGTATTACCACGTGGTTATTAACATTTATAACATTACGTAAAAATATTATTATTAATTATAACGTATTATGAAAACTATTAGCATCCGATCCCAATAACAAAAATATTAAGCAGATACCTGGGTGATTACACCTGTAACGCTCGTTTAGACGATTATGCTGAAAGTATAAAACCATTTCGGTTTATTTGATATAAGTATCGTTTAAATAGCTGTAAATAACTATCCAATTTTGATTTTTTCGGAGACCCCCCCCCCCAAATGTTGGTTTTTGGTATGAGAGACGTACATCGTTCTGGTGCATGATTTCAATCTCTGTGCTATAAATATTATAACAAATTAAATGATCTAACTAATACGTCATTATCAACATAAATCAATGAGTGCAGTCATTTTGCAGTCAATACAACAATTTTAATTTATAATGCACAGTGTTAAGAATGAACGAGTTCAATTTTTTTTTGAATAAGGATATAAATTTGTTCATCTTGTACAAGGCTTAAAATATTGTATTTTGCAAATATTTAAAACAAGTTTTTATTTTTATTTTTATTACCTATTTAAAACGTGTTATTTCTGTCATGTTTTAGTTCGTTTACTTAAAACTAAATTGAAATACTTTTAAATTATTTGTTTCAAACAATGATTTATTTTTAATTTATATAACTAGGGAATTGATCGTTAATTGATCGTTTGACCAACTCTTCCCCGAAAGATATACGCAGTACAGCAACTGTCGGTTTCAATGCTCGTGTAGGTCATCAACCTTCCACACATACGACATTCTCATAATATACGAATCTCTTCATACTCGTCATATTGCGATCTCGACCCTTACGCCAGCACACTGAATTTCTATCTAGGTGGTTTCTCCCTATTTTTTAATCTACTGCATAAAAATGACAATTTATTATTGTTGTACCTATGTAATATTTTTTAAAATCAAACATATTTTTAAAACAATTATTTATTTAGAAAAAAAAATCATGAATACAAAGGTGAATATTGTATTATTTAGTTTCTGAGTGACGCATGAAAAAAAATCAATTTAGTGTTATGCAATGTAAAATAAAAAAATATGATAACTTTAAATTATAGCTACGTATGCATTTATGATCTACATTTTATAATTTTAATTAAGCGCACATACAATAACATAAAATGTAATTCCAATCTTTAAAACAAAATATAAAAATGTATTATAAGAATAAGTATAGACAATTTATTAATCATATCTTCTGTAAACCCAATGGCCCATGTAGCAGAATTTATCAATGCATTTAAAAAATAATATTGTGCCTAAATAGTTTTGTAAAATTTAACTAAACCTAATTTTTAATTTTTTTAAGAACATCCTATATAAATTAGTATTTCTAATTAATTTATTATTATTGAACAGAAACATCCAAAACAGTCTTAAATTTTGAAATTTAAATTTAATACTGATAGAAATAAATATTTTCTTAAATATTATGTTAAGTCATAATAAAAAATGTAAATATTATTTCAAATATTAATATTAAACTAATTGGTTTTGACTTAGATTTGTATAATTATTTAGATTAAGATACATTATTTGACATTATTTTATTTTGTTATAGTTTATTTGGTATAAAGTAATTTTGAAACTTTATTATGATTTGTTTAACAATTATTTATATTTTATTATTTGTTGTGATGTGAGATCTTATACCGTATTAGTGCAGCATATTGTGTTTGTTTTAAGCACCATACGAAATAAAAACATAAAACTGTGTTATACCTGTGAAATTTGTCAACCACAATATTTATTATTGAAAGTAATTTTTATATTTTAGCTGCATATTAATTATAAATGTTATTGCATACATGGTACTTTAGAACCGTAACTACTACACAAGAAGACAACTATAAGAAAAAAAAGATCATTTGTAAAGTATAGTAACTACATTATGATTACCGTTTGGAATTTAACATAGATACAACGTAACTGTTGATCTCAAAAAGAAAATGTTTTGGGTCTAAATGATGATATCCTATTTATAATACGAATGATGTATTTCTAGGCTTAGAATTCAACGATTATATATATTATGGTTCTCATTCCCGGCCATTAAAATAAATTATAGTATATTATTATCATAAATTACTGTTTTAGTGTCATAATAGAAAATCAATTTATTAGCACTGGGGCATAAATAATATATAATTTTGGGCGAGAATTTTAATATTATTTTAATACTTCCGATTTCGTGAGCCGAATTCACTGCTGCGTCGTATGTCATGTTGTGCGGGAGGGGGGGGGTAATTATGGTTAAAACCGGTAACCATGTTGGTTTAAAAGTTGATCTTTAGTTAATTATTGGTATACCTACTCGGTTGTGACTTGGTTATTACATGATACCGATGATGATTATAACGTGATTCCGTGATGCACTGTGTAAAGCTAAAAGCTTCTGCCAGTGAGAGTGAATGAATGAAGCAGTTTGTTTGTGGTTGTGCTTATAAGCTGAGAAAAATTGAGTTGATGACTGATTGAGAGTTAGAAAATGATAGTTCGGTTGATGAAATGTTGAGCTATTGATGGTCTGTGGCTGATTTTGGAAATGTGATTGTATAATGTATGGGGATTGTTGGATTTGAGTTTTGAAGGAGCTGGTTATGAGATGAATGTGCTCCTTGATGTATAAGATGTTGGTTGAGTGCTGAATGGCTTAATTGCTTCAAACGCCTGCAGAAATAATAATATAATTATATACGGAGCATCGTTCTAATCGTGACTCATTATACATAATATCTAGAAAATAATAGCCTGAAATGTTATTGTGTCTTACTCCACTCCATTAAATTTTTGCATAATTGCTATTGTAATTTCAAAATATATAAATATGAATCACATAGGCACGAACAAAATATTAGATCAAATCGCATTGGTTTTATTACAAAAATTGATCTTATTTAGATAGTCTCATAAAATGGTTTCCCGAAACATTATTTTGACGAAACGATGTTCCTATGATGTTTTCGCATCGGCGAAATTAAGATTTACATGTAGAAATTAATTATTATTCATACTTTATAATTGCCTAATGTACTTACTGCAAACTTTTATAACGCTGTGAGATCGTAGTTTAACGGCGTTTTGCATAGGCAAATAACTAGTAAGTGACATAACATTATGGTTATTACGACATAGTTCACGTGAAATGCAAAACATTTTTTTACAACAATATATATATTACAGTACCTACGTTATTATAGACTTTATTGAATCATTATTTGCCTAAATATTGAACAAATCATAATTATTGAAATTGTATGGTTACTTATATTATTGTGCACAACTAGTTCGTTGGGAAAACAATATCGATGAAGGTCGAGGTAAGTATGAATATGGAATTCAATATTATTGGTAAATAACAATACAAATAGTAAGTACCTAAACATTTTTTTTAAATGAAAAAAAAAATAGAGTTCCAATGAGACAATTTAAAATGTTTGTATTCACTTTGAACAATTTCAAATATATGGTTTTTTTGATAATTATTCACGCATCACAATTCTCTTACAAACGCGTTAAAATTTTAAAAATACGACAAATGTTTAAATAAGTGGTTTCAACTTGATATAACGTATACAAAATACGTAAATAATATATATTTTAAATAGTTTCATACTCACATACACACATAAACATACGCAAACACACACAGGGTGATTTCTCAAACATGGCTCACTCAAATTTTTCTCATAAATAATGAATGTATTAAAATTCTGATTTTTAAAGTTTTTAAGTACCTTTAGTAAATATTTTATACCTCATATTTTCAAATCCTAAGATGTTTTTTGTATCATTTAAGAGATTTCCTCTGGAAATACAAACTGATTTTTAAATTAGTACCACAGTTTCTTTCTGTAAGTTGTTAATTAAATGCTTTATTCATTTTTGATGCACCTAAATCAAAATTCTACCTATAAGTGCTTGAATCATTGTGTAGTAGAATAAAAATAACTAAGTATAAAAGAGCAGGGGAAACCGGGGCTAAGCGGCGACAGAATAGGGGTGTACCCGGCTCAATAGCCCATAGATTTCAATTCAGATAATAATTACACTACTACTTGATATGATTATTAGATTACCTTTTAGTTCATTTACTGATGTTATAATTTGAAAATATATTAAATCCACTTACCTTGTATTGATGTGGATCCTTGTTGTGGTGGTGGTAACGTCTCTGGTAGGTGTGGGTTGATGCGCGTTACTATTACTCTACGACTTTTACGATACTATGTTCTTTTCTCTAAATACAGTGCGTTTACTCTTAGCCTTTGTGGTGGAGTATAACCACGGTTATTTTTCTTACTTTAATTACGCTTAGAAAACTTTAATGCAGTGGATGG